GCACACGCCGACCCACCCGCCCCAAAGTCTGAAAGTTATGCCCGGGAGACCTGCAAGCGGCGGAGTGCAGCTGGAGAGGGAGCTGCCCCATGAGGCAGCCTCCAAAATAACTCTCGGAGTCCGAACAGTGCTGGGCCGCTGAAGTTTACAGCCTCCGATCCGCGCCCAGCCCTGCAGATCCACCGGATTTCGGGGAGGGAATCGGGGGGCTGCCCCGTCTTCCCATAAAGCTGACTTGACAACAATTACGAAAGTTTTTAATTAGCTTCTTGTTATCATTCATTTTATTAATTTCCAGAACTCTCCGGCCATAAATTATTCAAAGGGTAAGCCAACCCGAGTGGGGCAGCCGCCCGCCTTCCCCACACGCGCCGCGCTGGCTCTGGCCGCTCCGCTCACCCGGTGCCCTGTGAGCCAGCCCCGTGCCAGAAGCCGCGGTGGCACGATGGTTTGATCAAACATTAAATAATGTAATGTTTGCGACACGGCTTATCTCGCAAGTGGAAAAGAGGGCCTTGTGAGAATTAGAATTCGGCTGCTATTTTAAAAAATCAATTAAGCTTGTGGTCTTTTTTGAAACAGCTCGAAAGGACCGCGTGGCTGTCATCGTGGCGCTAAGACTGAGATGGCAATAACACCGATGGCAGAACTGTACCAGTATTAATTGTCATCACCTTTATGATCCCACCAAGGCCGTTCGAATGGGGTGGGAAACGCTAGTTTTAGCCAGGATCAGAAGACCCAGTTCCAACTTCACAGACGAAAAACTGCGAAAGCCTACCAACGTGAAAGATGAGTAGGGATGCTTCATGCAGATGCCAGGTGGGATCAGGAGAGGCAGGGGCGGCGAGGCAGGGGCGGCGGGGCAGGGGCAGAGGGCAGGGCTCGCTCAGTGAGTCCTACGGGCTTGGGGCGCCCTATTCTCTCACGTGCCCGGCCACGTGTAGGAACCCAACCGAAGTAGTCTCATTATCACAAGAAAACAAAAATCGATACAATCATGGCAGTGGGTGCCTACAGTTTATTTATGAAAGTGTAATAGAAGTTGAGAGCAATTTCAGAACACGCATTAAACAAAAATTATTCAGAAGTTAGTTGATGGGTCTTGAGGACATCATTTTTTTAGACCTACAGAAGGAACAGGACCTGGAGCTAGAAATGGGGAAAAGAAGAAATTTAAGACTAATGGATGGCATAAATGTGGCAGATGATTTAATGCTTATTTGTCTTTTGCTTTTCCTATTCCACCGCCGCCGCCGCCTGGATTTCCTGAGAAGCTGAAATGCAAACGGAGCCCAATTTTCCCACTCTCTCAAATTTATTTTGAGATTATTCTTTAAAAGAATCCGAGACACACATTTAATCATATTCACCCCAAAATTGGTGGAGGAATCCGCTTAGAGTGAACTTCTCTTCAGAACTAGAAAACTCTGAAAGGCCAAACTATCACTGATTGACACCCACCACTTCAATGATAGTTTGGCCTCCTCAGGAGGTCACTTTTTGTTTGTTTTTTTATGGATTCACAGTTAAAGGCATCTTAGAAAATAGTCTTATTACTCCTTCAAGCCATATATAGATTCGCTCACCAGAAAGCAAAGCATTGTTTGTTTTGCAGTTTCCTACTACATAAAATAGGAAATTCATTTTCATGATGTTTTATTAACATAATACTCTTATTTTTACTTGGTAAGGGTTTATTTAAAGCAAATCCTTAAATTCTTAATACCTACATTGGTCATTATTATGTAATACACATGTATTTGCCTGCAACATTTCTGCTTGAGGCAGACTTAAAAAAACAAACAAAAAAACAAAAAACAAAAAAAAACACCACCTTTTGTAAATCTTTTCATTTGTTCAGTCCTAGTTTTCCAACAATGAAATCCAGTCATACTTTTCTATAGAATAACAATTTTTTTTACAAATGCATTTTATTTAAAACTGATGATATTTCAAGTCAATAACAACAAAAACAACTCAACTTTTTATGGAAGAGTTCTATTTTTAAAAATACCTCTAGTGCTGTTTTTTTTTTTTAAACAACTGTTTAAAATCACAGCTTTTAAAATGTACTATTCTTTTTGAACATCAAGTGTTTTGCTTCACAGATTTGCGGGTGATATTAAAAAGATTTGGCTAAAATGACTTCAGATGATATAATCCCAGCTCTTAAGAAACTTTGTACATCTGGCATCTGATCTAGTCCCAAGTTACCAAGAAATAGAGACTCTCTGGTCACTCTGGAGCAGTAGGTGGCACACTAAATGTTTTAAAATGTATTAACCTCCAAAGAAAAGCCATTTAGTTACTAGGTGTTTTTAGGCGAGAATATCACATCTAAACCTCCAAATGCCTCTGTCCCTGACCCTAAATTTAAATGTTTTTTGGGTGCCTGGTTATTTATTGGTTTTCACCACTCTGGATCAAGTGCTGTGGTTTAAGAGTTTCTGCAGTTAAAAAATAATAACTTTTATAAACACAGGCAACTAATATAGAATTCATTTTATTTAGAGCACCACTTTTCATGAGTTATCTGAAAGCGAATTCTGATTCAGCAAAAAAATACATTCTCAATCTTTCCCCTCTTTTCATCCCCCTTCAACACCCTCCCCTCCCCCCATTTCTTTGTTTTTTTTTTTTTTTTGTTTATTTGTTTGGTTGGTTGGTTGGGGTTTTTTTGGCTATATTGTCTCATTTGTTGAAAGGTTCTACCAGGACCTGGCCCAGTATAAACACAAAAATGCACCCAAATCATAAAACTGCTCTTCTTTCAGTTATGTTTTATTTGTAAGTGTACTGGGACACATCCCCCTGTTGTATTTTGGCGCACAGAATTGGTTCTGATAGAAGTAAGGGAGGGGAAAGGTAAAAGAGAAAAGACATAACCAAGGAGAAAGCTCAGCAGACATACATGGACAGGTAGATCAATCCGTGAGACATTTCAGGATGAACACTGGCAGTTTGTAACCACTGTGTGAGTGTGTGCATTAAATAAAATATTTACAATAATCTTCCTTTTTTCCTTTTCCTTTGAATACAAGAATATGACAAAAATGTTGTGTTTTCAGTGGAAACAGGCAGTAGACTGTGAAATCACACTATCCACAAAACGGTCTACCAGAAAGCTAGCCCAGTTTAGTGCTCAGTTTCAAATGCATAGAATGTTTGCCCTGCAAACAATGATATACAACATAATTAAATAAATAATGCCTAACCAGAGTGAGACCTAATTGTGTTTCTTTCCACACCTTTCAGATCATGCATGATTTCAGTCTTGTTAATCGGCAGGTTTTTTCTTTTCTCATTTGTTCTGTTTTCAATGTTTTAGTTATGATTAAAGGATGGTAACAAACCATCTCTACAAGAGATCCAAAGAGTATCTTGTACACAAAGCAGGCATTTTACCTCACCACCTTCAACAATCTTATTTTTTAAAATCCACCAGCAGCTTGTAAGGTACCTGATTATTACTATGAAATACTATACATGATTTTCTATTTGGGAGACTGGTAGTGCAAATTAAAGTTCTTGCTACCCAACATTTATCCCCAGTAATAAATGACTCTCGAATAATAAGAACAAGTAAAAGGAAACACAGTTGTTCTGTTTTCCCCCAACATGCAGACCTCTTTGAAACAAATGGGGGTGGGGGCACTTTAAATCTGTCTTCTTTTCTGGGATTTAGGTGATTTTCTCACAGCCAAGTCCTGCTCCAACAGAAAGCAGGAACTTCTCAACATTTCTATAATTTCATGTTCTCCAAGAGAAGAAGAAAGGGGACCTAGAAGAGCAAGATGAGAGAGTATCTCTCCTAATAACTTTCACCCCATCAGTCTATTTGAATCAACAGGAAAAAAAAAATCACTAGTTTAAACCTCTCTAAAAAATAAAAAATAAAACTGAAAGGGTAAAACTTCTATGAGTGGGAAAAAAAAGCTTATTTTGAAATTGTCTAAAACTGTATCTTCGACATAAGAGAAAAAAAAAAAAAAACTGTTGTTAAAATTGTTTCATTTACCTAGAATAAGATATTTCGAAGTCCCGGAATTCTACTTTTTAGTTAGCTCAAAGACTATGCCCCGATCTCCAAAGACCCCCACCCCACCAGGACCAGGCCACCAGAGTGTAGGCAGGGCCAGGGGAAAACCTGGATTCCACCTAAGCAAGCAGCCAGGCTCCCCCTGACCCTGTCTTTTCAGCTGTGCTCCCACTCACTTCCCGGGATTGGAGAGCAGCCATTGGCTTCTCATTGGAACGGAGGAAATAAAGAGGATATGGATGGGGTGGAGGTGAGATTTGGAGGGAAAAATTAAACACGCAGACAGAACAACTAGCTTTGATACCCAGAACTTCAACTTCCGGCTCATTTGGTTTTCGTTTTTGACTCAGTTTGTGTGTGTAGGGTTGGGGAGGTGGTAATAATGGTGGTGCTCTTTTTTCTCTTCCATGGGGGGAAATGAAGCTGCAGATTATGGCTCCCCGGAGTTAAAATTTCTAAAGCATTTTCCTTTGCTTTTGTTCTGTGTTGTTTTAGTTTATCTTTATTTGTCTAGTTTTTGGTGGTTGGTGGGTTTGTTTTTGTACATAGTTCCTTGGTCCCCAGGAGATTTAGGTAAGTGTCTCTGGTCAAAAACAGTCCATTTTCCTATCCTTCCCGCGTCTCCCCCCACCCAAACCCCAGAACCATCCTGCTCCTTAAAACCCCTGCTCGGGTCTCCTCTTTCCTTCCCCCCACTCCCCACTCATCCTAATGCTCTCCCCCTTCTCCCCTACCCTATACTCCAATCCCCACAGCCAGCATCCCAGTCCTCAAGGCTGGGGGACAGCAAAGGCAGGCAAATCAGAGAGAGGGTGGAGGAAAGACAGCGAGGAGGGACTCCCCAAACGCAGGCAGGATAACGGACACTCCAAATCCGAGGGGAGGCAAGCAGAGGAAAGCCCCCCAAAAACGCCTCCTCAGCTCCCCACTCTGTCCCGCCCGACACCTCCCAGCCCACTCAGTAAGTGGCAGAGAATTTCATCCGCTTCTGCTTCTGTCTCTGGTTGCAAAACCACACCCGCACCACATTCTTTTTGAGGTCCAGTTTCTCGGCGATGGCGGCGATCTTCTCGGACGAGGGCCGGGGCTGCACGGCGAAGTAGGCCTCGAGGGAGCGCTTCTCAGGCGCGGCGATGGAAGTCCGCTTGCGCTTCTTCTCTCCGCCGTTGAAGAGCTCGGGCTTGTTCATTTTCTCGCGCTGGGCGCCCTCGGCCTCCTCGAGCCACGCCTGCAGGATGGGCTTGAGCGCGATCATGTTGTTGTGCGAGAGCGTGAGCGACTCGAACCTGCAGATGGTGCTCTGGCTGAGTGAGCCCACGCCCGGGATCTTGAGGTTGGCCAACGCCGAGCCCACGTCGGCCTGCGTCACGCCCAGCTTGATGCGCCGCTGCTTGAAGCGCTCGGCGAACGCCTC